GTAATAATATATTCTCTTTGAACAAAATATTCACGAATTCTGTTGAAATTCCTAATTCGCTGACCGCATGAGAATGATTAGCCTGAATAGGTGTAGTTGCGGATTTCTCATCCATTTTGCAGGTGATTGGATACGACGTCCGTTGTATGATATTCGCAAAATCAATGAGAGATTGGATGTGGTTGAAGCTTTTGTTGGGAACACATTGTGTCGTACGCTTCTTCATGACGATATTTTGCGCAGGATACCGGACATTGCAGCATTGACGAGGAAGATGGTGCAGAAAAAAGCAGGCCTGCAGGTTTCTTTTCTAGTCCTTGGTACTGTATCGCTCAAAGAGGAAGGAATGTTGAGTTCGCCAACAGACTTTGCTTTCTTGCTGATGGCTTTTGTGTTACTAATTTTGCAACTGAACTGATAAGTTGTTTGTTTTCAGGAATGCCATCGACTTTATAAAGTTATCTGCATGCTGAAGCGGTTTCAACAAACTGTCGATGAGGTTTATGTATCGTGTGGCTCTCTAGCACCATCAGTGAATGATTTGTGCTTAGTAAGTGTGGGAATGTTCTGCTTTTGTTGTTTTTTTATTGCTGTGTTCTCTGATGTTAGAGATACTTGCATTTAGAAATTCACAGGGTTGACGGCTATGTCCAGTTTGTCGAATTGCTGTCACACAGTGGTCGGTCTGCTGGTGATCCTACCTCCCCTGAAATTTTCGATCTCTTTGTCTTTTTTTTTTCTTTTGAGAGCAAAAGAGATGGGAAAGCAGCCTTTTGCAGTTAACATAGATCGAAGAAATTTTCATAGTAAGAGGTAACAGATTCAACAAATCCCCTTTGAATTCTTATTATTAAGAGATCAGAGGGGACTTGCTGAACGGTACCTGCGCAACGTTAAACGGGTGAAGGGAGTACCATTAAACGGTGCGAAAATTCTTGTAAACATTCGTATTAAATGGTACGGATATAAGGGCCAGAAATGGCGGAGAATGAAGAATTTACCAGACACGTGGTTGACAAAAAAAAAAACCGACAATAAAACTACGGCTGCATTGATCTAGTTTCGATTTGTTATCAGTGAGGCTTGGGTGAGCGTCTGCACCTCGGTGACACTGGT